AGCTTAGCTGCAGTAATTAGAAACAGAAACCCTAGAAGTGAGTATAGATTGCTATATATCATACTTGGACAGACAGAGTAGAATCAGTTCTTGTCCGATTTCCACACAATCCAATATAAATGAGCTCTGCACTTGTGCTGCTATTTATAAGAAGTTTGGAAGTTGAATTTTTCTTTTCTTTATTTTATTCATAAAAAGCTTAAGCAGCTTGGACTTTTCTTCTCAATATATTATATCGTGATTTTTTCATCATTTTTATTTCGAGTAAATTATTTTGTTTGTTCAAAAGAGCTGTGAAGTTGTCCTGCTGTTTAAAAGTTGTTTGGACGGTTGGATTTTTCTTTTGTTAATTCATAAAAAACTTAATTACGCAACATTGATTTTCTCTTTTCTCGATATATTTTATCATGATTTTTAAATCATATAAATGAGTTTTGCACTTATGCTGCTATTTAAAAATTATTTGGAAAGTTAGATTTTTCTCTTTTTTCCTAATTCATAAAAAAAATTAAGCAACATGGATTTTTCTTTCTCGAAATATTTTATTATGATCTTTTCATCATTTTTATTTTGAGTAATTAAATTATTTTACTTATCCAATAGAAATTGCATTTTTTGTATTCATATATGTTGCAAAATACTTGTATGGTCAAAATTTTAAATATTCCTAATTGATAAAGAAAATATATTCTTTCTTCCATTTTATGTTCTTTACTAACAAAAAAAAAATCTATATTGTTGATACGTTTTTGTTATATATATATATTAAAAGAAAAATCTTTTGTTACATAAAAAATATTCATTCTTGTAGAGACTTTATTGCATGTTAAAATTTTAAGAGTAAAATATTTTCATTAGTATGTTATTTTTTCATAATTGTTTTAAACTTGATCGTTAATTAACTTAATGATTCTTCATTTGATTTACTACCTTAATTTTGCATAGATTTTCTCTTTAAATTAATATTAATTCCATGTAATGCATGATTAGTTTTCATAACTAATAATTTTAACAGACGAGTATTTTAGAAAAGTTTCAACAAAAAATATTGATATGACATAACAATTAATTATTGTTTTTAAGTCTGTATGAAAAATCAAAGGAGGCGATATATTTGGGACACAATAGTTTTTAAAATAAAAGAAACTAATTTATTTTTTTTCAAAAATAAAAAGACTAATTTACTCTCTCTATCCCAAGTGGATGATCCCTTTTGATTTTTTACACGAGTTTAAAAAAGTTATAAATTGTTATGCTCTATTAGCATTTTATTTTATTCATACTTTTCTAAAATTCTTGTTTTTTTAAAAAAAATATTAGTTAGCAAATTTAATCCTATCAATATTAATTTAAAGAGAAAATCTATCCAAAATTAACGTGGTAAATCAAAGAAAAATCATTAAGTTAATTAATGAAGGGTAATCCATGCACTAGACCTTACTAATCATATATATGTGAATTAAAGTATAAATAAAGGATTATCTCTTGTAGCGCAAAATTGAACCTTTACGGAAAAGAAGTTGTTCAAATCTCTAGCCTTTATTAATAATTCACGCAGTCCAAACACCCACACAAGAAGCACTCAAATTAGTAAAGTGTTAGCTCCATATTTTCCGACTTGTTTAGTGTTTTTCCTTTTAGAAATCTATTCGGGGATATTGTACGACAACCACTAAGAGAGAGGATAAGTGGCGTGTCCTAGGGTAGGGAGAAAACTGTTTTTCTCCTTGTTTTCGCTTTTGTCGTGTAGCATTAATTTCTTTTATTATTTTTTTCTTTTTTTCAATTTTTGCTACACATCTCCTTCTATTTATAAGGGGAGAGACTTCCTTATCTTTCAAGGACAAGGAAGGGGTGACAACATGTCTTATGTGGACTCTAAGTTGTTGCTTCCAAATCCTTCAAGGATTAGGAGTTATTATGCATGTGGACTCTAGGTTTTGCTTCCTAATCCTTCAAGGATTAGGAGTTATTATGCATATGGGATTTTTTTATCATGTCTTTTAAAATATTTATTCTTATCCAACAACGTTCATGTTTATCGCCCTACCAAAATATCTTTCGAATTTTAATTAAACCTATTGGCCCAATTAATTAATTTGGATCATCTAAATAATTTAGGTTAGATATTTTTAGGAGGCTCGCATTAAGAAATAATTTCTCAAATTATTCTTAAACCTAAATTGGGAAACTAATTTTTTTTAGGTAATTTACTTCCATAATAGGAAACTAATTTCTAAAATAGGAAAGTTTTCATTTATAGGAAAGTTTCCATTTGAGGATACTTTTAATTTTCAAAATAAGAAATATTCAAAATTGAAAACTTTTTCCAACATCTTTGCTTCTCTTTTATTATATGAATACTTAAACTTATGGGTATAAGACAATAAGCTCCTAGATATGTTAGCAATGTATCAAGAATAAAAGATACCTCTTTTATCTCTTGATACATAAATTAAGATTGGCTTCTAGTAAGACATCATGACTACCTAATTCTCTAGGAGGATTAATTAATCTGTAATTACCTTTCACGAGAATGGTTACCATATAACTCGATCATCATGTCAACTTATCACGAGTGTGATCTAAAACTTGGTTATTAGCTTATTTGATTGTGATCACATAAGTTTTCTTTGATTCTCAAATGTCTTAGCTCTTAGAGTAAACCAACTATACTTTATTGATGTACTCCTACTGTGGCCATAAATTTCTTAAGCGAGACATTTATCAAAGTACAATGTGATAACTCCTTTAGCATACAAGGAATGACATATCATTTCTTAGTCACCCACCTACCTCCATTAAATTTCTAATGCATCCAATTAATCATCCACATGTAACCTTTTACTAGGTCCATCAAAATATGTGTCGAAGTACATAAATCCTCTATTGAGATAACCATGATTCTCAAATGTCTTAGCTCTTAGAGTAAACCAACTATACTCTACTCGGTGTACTCCTATTGTGGCCATAGATTTCTTGAGCGGACATTTATCGAAGTGCAATGTGATAACTCTTTTACCATACAAGGAATGACATATCCTATCTTAGTCATTCACCTACCTTTATTAGATTCCTAATGCACCCAATGAATCACCCACATGTAACCCTTTACTAGATCCATCAAAACACGTGTCAAAGTACATAAATCCTTTAATGAGATAACCATGATTACTTCAAATCTAAGGACCAGTTGTACCCATCTCGTATGAGATTCCCATAAATTAAACCAAATGGGTTCTCATGATGAGTCAATTCTAGTGATATGTTTTCAAACATTAATCACCTAAGTGCTTGCTTTAGTATCATCATGTCAATAGGTGTGAGATCTCCTACAGCTATCATATAGCATGAGCACAGTACTCACAAATCTAATCACATATAATCAATGTCCATTCTTGACAATGCTATGACTTTGAAATATTTAATGATATCATTTATGTGCATTAATGTTTGTCTCACATCTTTTGATCAAACACCAATGCAAATGCATATCATATAAACTTTTATCTAATTATATTCAATAAATAAATGTAAAGGATAAGAATTAATAAAAAGACTTTTTAATTATTAATAAAATAAATAATACAATAATATAATAACTCAAGTCTATCCAAACATGATTGGATTTTAGGCATCTACACCGACAAATAGGAGATTCATTGGTTCGACATCATGACCAAATCAAATCTATACATCAAAATAAAATTTATAACCTAAATATTTCTAGTTTTTTTCCTAACACTTGTAAAACTAGAAATTATTACAAAATAAAGTAACAAATAATTTAAAAATGTAAGAAAAAAAGATAATTAATCACTAGAAAATGACCATAAATACCCTTTGGAATACTACTAAAAATGACCAAATTATTTTTACCTGTTAGAAAAGACAAAAATGCCCCTTTCATGTAAAACGATGAAACTGCCCCTTCTATTATAAATAGTGAAACTACCCTTTCTTCTTGACCTCCTTGTCCTCTCTTTCCCAAGAACATAATCCTCCCCATCATCTAAGACAAAGACCATGGGTTTTGAGGAGAAGACCAATATCACTTAGTTCTAACACCTTTTTTCAAAACCCTTAGCCACACAAAGCCTCATTCTTTCTTACTTTCTCTTTACACTCTTTCTCAAAGACTTCCTCTCTAGTATTCATTTCACTAGCTATGAATTTAAGGATGGCATTATGGTCATGTGTTTGTGAAGGGTGACAGTTGATGGCGATAAATGGGTTATTATGAGGGTTTTGAAAGAGGCTAGCGAATTTTTATGGCTATTGATGGTGATTCAAGAATGGTTGCCTTGCAATGGTTGTTGATGGCGATTGAACATGGGATGAGCTTATGAAGATAGTCGATCAATGGCTAGAGTTTCATTGGCTATTGGTGAAAGCTCGCGTTAGTGGGTAATGGCAGTTGGGTTCGAAAAGGAAATGGCATGCTTGGTTAGTGAAGGAAGATATTGGTGGAGATGATGGCGGGCTTGGTAATATGAAGAAGATCATTAATAGTAGTATAAGGGAGGAGATCAATAGAGATGATGGCCGACTAGCCACATGACAATTACGAGTGATGAGGGTTTCAAGAGAGGAAAAATAGCTACCCCTATAATGGTTAAAAGAAGATAGATTTGGCTTTATAGGCTGAATTTTTAGAGAGAATGACTCGTCGAAAAGTGGCAATCTATTATGGTAGAGATTATCCGGTTCCGGGTTTTGGGTGGTTATTATGAATTTGGAGGAGGTGGTAGATGTGATTGCAAGTGGGTGTTTAATAGAGAGGTTAAGAATAGGTTAGTATATAGCTGCTAAGTCTACTCACCAAATGCTTGATAAATCTTCTATATGGCTCCTCTTTGTGGTGACAGATTTAGTGATGGTTGGAAGGTGGATGGTTTATTATCGCTTCAATGTCTAGCAATAGATGGTAGTCGTTGATGGCTTTGTTAGAGAAGATGAAGATTGTATTTGGCTTAACGAGTAGGGAGAAGATATGAGTTATGGTTGAGGTCTCGGGTATGATGGAGCTAATTTTTGGTATGGTTACTCGTGATAGCAATTTTAGTGCTGATGGAGCTTTCGATAACCGACGAGCAAGGAGGTGTAAGGGTAAGAGGTAAGCTGCTAGGCCATTTTTCTTTTGGGAGATAAGCGATCGGACTCCGGTGGTTGGAGGTGTAGTCCAATGATAGAGGTGACTAGTTGAAAAGGCTTTGGTTGGAAGGTCCGGTGGTTTTGAGTCGTTGCAAGTGAGCATGTGGGGTGAGGTTATGTTTGTGGCTTATGGGGTTTTGAATGGTGGCAATGTATGGGTCTATTATTGTTTGGAAGAGCTTTGGTAGCTACTTTTCCTTAGTAGTGAAGATGGTTGCCCAATTTCTTTGTTTTTTTTAGGAAGATGAAGAGTGGTAAGGTTTTTGTAAAGACTATATTTTAGGGGTTCTTTTTATGGGATAAGAGAATAATTATGGCTCACTTAAAAATGAAGGAAAAAAGGTCTTTCTATAGGGTTTTTTAAGGTTTGGGATAAAATCAATTCAAGTCCATTTTTGGATTATTTTTATCGGTTTCATTGTACATGTTATTATTTGCCTCTAATTAAATGATTAATTGAAATTGTTTAGTCCATATTCTCTTAATTTCTTTTAATTTTACACCGATTAATTCTTAATCAAGTTTTTTTATTTTTTATCGCTTTCTAATTACATCCCTAATTGAATATCACTTGATCCTCACTTTTCATATAATTTTCAATTGGATCTCGGATCATCTTCTCAATTTTTCTCATTTTTTTCTTCATCTTCTTCTTTTTTATCTTTTCTTTTTCTTTTTAAATTAAAAATGGAGAATAATTCTAAGAAATTAAAATCTTAAAAATTTATAAAAACACCTAGAGATCATGAAAAAGATCAAATATGCAACATTTTTTTTTATTTTTGAATTTCTATCTATTTTTATATGAAGATAACGGAGGAGTCAAAAATGGGTTATGATGGTATCTAAAGACACGAAATGAATTTTACCCATTAATTATATAGATTGCATGGGTTTTAGTATGATGCTCGTGATCATATATTTAAAAAAAAAAAAGGACATGTTTTGAAGATATTAAAAACGATCCAAAATTAGATCGAACTATGTCACTCCTAGTAATTTTGCCAAAAATATTGAGTTAGTTAAGAAAGCATTCAAAAGGCCATCTAGGTCCGGTAAACAAAATTGGAACAAAACGAGTTCGAGATTCCATAAGCAAGCATATAAGAGGCTCAATTTCATATATGTATCATGCACATTATTTAGTAAACTCGGTACAGTAGTCGGCTTTATAATATATGTAGCCTTGGACAAAATAATATTTTAGAAAATCTTTCATAAAATAAATAAATATTAAATATTATTTAAATATTATTTTTCTTGCTTTCTAAGATGCAAAATCTCTAGTTAAATTTTTGTATTCAAGTTTACAAAGTAAATCTTTTTCAATTGATAATATAGCCAAATTACTTAATCTTTTTTGTGACATAGTTGAACGTAAATAAGATTTTATTAATTTTAATTTTGAAAAATTTTTTTTAGTCGAAGCTACAATAACAAAGATAGTTAATAGTATTCTATATGTTATCCATGCATTTGAAAAAGAATTTACCTTTTTTTATAAAATTTAGTATGGCAAGTGGTATTTTCATTTCCATAGTTATAATTTCTTTTAAAACTTTTAATTCTGAAAATAAATCTAAATCATCAATATCGGAAAGCCTATCATGCTTTAGAAAGTTTTCAAGATTTAAATAATTTTTTTTCAAAATATCATCATCAAGTGATTTTAAATTTTCTACACTATATAGAAAATAAAAATTATCTTCATATATTTTAAATTGTTCAAACCTATTTTGAAGAGAGGAAATCGCATGATCAACTAAATATGTAAAATAATTAATTCTAAAATATTCTTCAACAGATAATTTCATATCTTCATTTTCAATCTCATCAAATTGTTTCTTTCTTCTTATTGTACATTTTTCACAAAATTTTGATTCTACATTCATTTGCTCTGTAATTTCCTTAGCCAAGATCATAGAAGATGTAAATCCATTTTCTCCGTAGCTTTTAAAAAAAGAAATAAGACCTTTCAAGTGGTTTATTGCAAGAGCAAGTATCCATATCTTTAGATTGTAAATATTTACTAACCGTATTAATAGCAAACAACATATCATATCAAATAATCATGCCTAATAGAAATTCAAAATTTTCAATCTCATATGTTGCTAAAGAAATAGCTTCACTTTTTGTTTTAGGATCCTCACTAGTTTCTACTAATTGATATAAAGCATCTCTTATTTGTTGAGCTTGAAATCTAATTGCTTTAACACTTTTAATACGACTTTCCCAACCTATTTGTGATAATGGTTTAAGTGTCAAATTAGAAACATGATCTTGCAAAAAATTTCATCTTTTTGTAGAAGAAGAAAATAATGAATATATGCGTTGTGTCACTCCAAAAAATGTCATAGCACTAGCACATGAATTAGCCATATCACAAAAAACTAAATTAAGATTGTGGCAGCCACATAATGTATAAAATACTCTAGAATTTATATCTAATAATCTTTTTTGTACATCATGATGTTTACCTTTCATATTAGACCTATTATCATATCCTTGCCCTCTCACATCATTTACGTCAAGTTCAAGAGTTTTTATCTTACTTGTAAGTTTATTAAAAAGACCTTCACCGAGATGTATCATCTACTTTTAAAAAATCTATAAAATACTCTTCCATTTTTATTAGAATTGCCGAAATATCTACATATCTTAATATAAGAGACATATGTTCTTGATGATTTGCATCTAGAGTATAATCAAGTATAACTAAAAAATATTTTGATTCTTTGATTTTTCCGATAATGGTATTTCTTATTTCTAATGCTAAAATATTTATCAACTCATTTTGTATATTATGACCAAGATAATGCATATGAATATCTCCGTTTTGAATACGTCTAAGGTGTTCTTGCATTATTGGATCAAACTCGAGCAATCATTTCAATTAAACTCAAAAAAATTCCATTATTGTCGTGATAAATCTTCTCATTTGTACCACAAAATGCCAAATTATTTTTTGAAAAAGCTTTTACAATAGCAATAATTCTTAATAATACATTCCTCCAATGCTCTTTCTCTTTATTTATTTTCTCTTGAAAATGCTTATCAATTGTTTTGTTTTTAAGTAATCTCATCCGAGCATCAACCTAAGTGTTCATATTAATAACATGTTCATTACTTGTCTCATGACTTTTAAGTTTGGCGGTAAGATTTTTCCAATCTCCACGCCCTTCATTTGGTAATTGAATATTTGATTTCAAACTAAATAATTTACAATAATAAAAAAATACTTTATCTAACTCTTTTGAATATACTAGCCATTTTCTATCATGTTTTTCTCCGTTTGGTAATTTTCGAATGTAATGAACTCGTAGAAAAATATTTCAAATTTTTATCTCTTGAAAAATCTAAAATTTCTCTAATATGACCTTTCTCAACTAATAAATCAATCAGTTTTAAGTCTAAATTTTTTCATTGTGCCGAATCGTAAATATTTTTAATTGTTGTTACATCTTCATCATTAATATTTTCACTTTTATTGATTGAAACATCATCTTCTAAATTTTCATCATATTCTTCATTACTTTTTGGTGAATTTGAATTGTTATCTTCAAATTTTTCTTCACAATTTTCAAATATATTTTCATTTAAATCTTTATCTTGTCCTTCTAGTATTTGGGGTTTAATATTAGTAACAAATCTATCAAGTGCACCTTTTTGGGATTGAATTAGTTCTTCTACCTTTCTTTTTTTCTTACATTTTTCATATCTAGATTCATACTTTCTAGTAGACATTTTATTCAAATAATAAAATTAAAATATAATTATAAAACAAGTAAAAACTTTTGCACCTAATTATATTTGCTTGTCACACCTAATCAAGTAAACGAGAGAGAATCACTCGAAAAAATAAAAAGAAATTTGAGAAAAAAATAAAATATTATATGATTTATGTACATAATTTTATTTTCATAAATTAAAAAATTACCTTCGATTCTTCTCGCAAGCGAATTAGAAAAGGTTTTATAAGAGATCTCCGATTGTTTGGAGAAAGAAAGGAATATAATAATAAAATTGGGAGATCTAAAAATTATTTTACTTATAAATATTTTTTTGAAACTTTTCCGTAAGTAAAAGTGTCTTACTAAAATAAAAATTGAAAGTTTCTATGAGTAGAAGGTAATCGAAAATACATCTAGAAAAAGTAAAATTTTTAACGTTGAAATAATAATATCTCTAAACAATGAAAGCCTTTTAATGCAATAACTCTAATACCTATGACTCGTTAATGGAGAGAAGAATGGTGTCTCATACTTAAGTAGAGGTTGTACGTTTTAATTTATCTCATTCTTCATCGGTTCGGGCTTAAAGTAAAATTTTAATTAGGGGCCCCCTTTATATGGGAGCCCTAAGCATAGGCCTTAATGGCCTATGCCTTGAGCCGTACTATTTTGGTATCAATTTCCATTCATTTTTTTTATATGTACACATGTCTTAATGATAATGGGTTCAATGCTATAAAAATATATAAATATTTATGAAGAAATAAGCGAGGAAAAGGGCATCCACTCCTATGAAAATTTAGGATGAAACTCATATTGGAAAAGTTGACCAAGAAAAAAAAAACGTTTATTGAATGAAGATCTCAAGTTTTTTTTTTTAAGTGTTTTTTCAAAAAATATATTATTAGTAATAATGTTGTTTTTTTTATCATTAATATAAGATTTAATTAAAGAAAATCTAAATTTTTGTTTCATCTTTTTTTTTTTTTTTGAAACCATATTCTAATTATCACAATGCAATATATTTTGTGTTGCACTTTATAGAATTAGATAGTTGAAATTATATTTCACCTAAAAATTTTAACATTTATAGTGAATGGTTTCTTATTAACTTTATATATTAATTATTTTTTGTTTAACTATTAAATATGAGATATATATATTTTCTATCACTCTCTCATTTGTAGTTCATCTTTTAAAATCTGTTAAGTGGCTTAGATTCTAAGATATTTACAAAACTATTGGATTTTTTAAAATTCTAATATTATATAAAATTAAATAGTTGAGACTGAAATCCATTTAAAACACTTAATTCTTATGATGAATGAATTCTCTTTAACTTTATATATTATTTATTATTAATTTAACTATTTAATATAGGGCATGTTCTTTAAAAATTTTGTATGTAAATTGAATGTGGAATTGTAATTTGTCCATTCTTTATTTGTTGTGGATAT